TGTTTTTACTATGATATGTCATGGGGAGTTTCTTTTCTGATCCTGTCTTTTGTGTTCTATGTGCTTCCTGTATTTGTATGTGGATATTTCCTTAATTTCAGGAAATTCTCTTCTACAATCCTGTTTAAGAGCTGGTCAATACCATTAACCTGAAATTCTTCTCCTTCCTCTATTCCTATGATCTTTAGATTTGGTCTTTTCATGGTGTCCCACATCTCTTGCATATTCCCTTCCTGTGTTTTTAAAATTTTTCCATAATTTTTGCTTGAGTGGTCCACTTCAACTTTTTCCTCCAGTGTTGATATTCTGTTTTCCATTTCATTCATTCTAGTGGTGAGACTTTCACCTGTTGTCTCTAATTGGCTTATTTAGTGTTTCATTTCCTTCTTCATTTCTGCCTGAGTTTTCTTCAATGTTTCTATCTCTTTTGTGAATTAATTTAGAAGTTTATCCCTGTCTTCTTTTAGTTCTTTGATTTGTTTGTTTGTGTGTTCTTGAAATTCTTTGAATTCCTTGATCATGTTTATGAATATTCTTTTAAATTCAGTGTCCTGGGTTATCTCTAGGGGGTTCTCCTTGTAGAACTCTTCTACAGGATTGGTGGAATTTGGTGGAGCATAGTGTTTTGGCCTTCCATTTTATTAGCTTTCCATATTATTATTCCTTTGTTGTGATTTTGGCATGTGAATTTCTTTTGTTGTTTATGATTCTGATATGAGAATTAAGTTGAAGCCTGCTTCTGTTTGTATTATCAGGTGCCTAGGTCCTTTCCTTATTGGTTATGTAAAGCTGGTCTAGGTTTCAGGTTCTCTCAAGTTTTATTTTGGAGGGAACTGATGGCTTCAGATCAGCTACTCAGGAGCTCCCACAAAAGCCCTAGTCAGGTTCCAGTCAGGTACACTCAGGCTTCCTTCTAAGGTTTGGACCCGATCATGTGGAGGCAAGATCCGGGTGCTCTCAGGCAGTCCCCTGTGTTCTCAACCCCTATGCCAGAGGGAGGCCAGAACCCTAAAGTCAGTATTTTTAAATGTTATTATTTTAGTAAAGTCTAACCATTGCATTGAACGTTTCTCAAATATTTAACCAAGTTTGTTTTTATTGTGAGATGATTATACTATTTCTGAACAATGGGTTTTGAATCTTATGAAATAATAGTACTATTAAATTTCAGTTGCTGTGATTGTTTTTATTTTGTGTTTAAGTACTTGCTTTGCTGTCACATAAAAATGGCTTGGTTCTCAGTTCTCGTTCTCCAGAATGCCTTTGTTCAATAGCTTACTTATATCTGTGGAACATAGGAGTATATTTTATAAAGTACACGAAAGCCTGAAAATTTGGCCTCATGGCAGCTGTCCCAATCTTTGATTTGGAATTCTGTGTCCTGCTCTTTTTCAGTCTTCCATATAAGGAGTTCTTCGGTGGGGTGAGTGGACTGACTGTGGAACAGTTTCGGAAGATCAACGGCTTTCCCAATGCCTTCTGGGGCTGGGGAGGGGAAGATGATGACCTCTGGAACAGGTATGTTGAGGTACAATCTGCTTCATAGCACACATTCTAGATGTCATTGCTGTTCAGTAAATCAGACTTGTCTATTCTAAGAAAGGACACTTTGAGCTAGAAAGTATTTGAGGTTCCTAAATCCATGTTTTGTGGCTCCCCTTTTTCATTCAGAATGCTGTGTAAAGTGACTGGCAGCTTTGCATTTTGAATTGAACTTATATAATCCATTTTATGTTGTGTTGCAGAGTTCACTATGCTGGCTATAATGTAACCAGGCCAGAGGGTGACTTGGGAAAGTACACATCTATTCCTCATCACCACCGGGGGGAAGTTCAGTTTTTAGGACGGTAAGTTTAACATCATCTTGAGACTTCAGAGCTTTCTTAGTGGGGTTTCTTACCCACTTCCCCATGTGCTACATGGAACTTGTGCATGCTGTCACCATTACTTTGAGTAAATGACCAGCTGTCTAGAAAACTCTGTTTCTTTGTGATCATCTACCACCTCTGGCTCTTACAATCTTTCCACCCCCTCTTCCACAATGATCCCTGAGCCTTAGGAGGCAGAGGTTTGATATAGGTGTTCTATTGAGGAATAAGTAGTTTGCAGCAGCCTCTTGTTCTCTGCATGTTGGCCAATTGTGGTTCTCTGTGTTAACCACCATCTACTGTATTAGGGTGCTTCTCTGCTGAGGGCTGAGAGATGCATTACTCTGTGGGTGTAGCAATAAGTCTTTAGAGTCAGTTTAATACTATATATATATATTTAGCAGAATAACTGTAAGAATGCAAAATTCTTTTTTTTCAGTTAGCATTTTTTTTGACTAGTAAAAATGCTAATTTAGAGGAATGGCTTAGAGATTTTAAATTATGCCTTAATTATAAAAGGACCAAAACCACATTTTGCATGTTTTCCTCTTTCAAACACATTTCTCTTTCTGTTTTGTTTTTTGTAGGTATAAATTACTAAGGTATTCCAAGGAGCGTCAGTACATTGATGGGTTGAACAATTTATTATACACACCAAAAATACTGGTTGATAGGTTGTATACAAACATATCTGTAAACCTCATGCCAGAGCTAGCTCCGATCGAAGACTATTAGGTGGACAGGTGCTGGATTGTGGACATGGACTACCCTCTTCTGGAGACCAGCGAAGATGGTGTTCATCAGAGAACATCACCAGCGAGTGATGTTCTCAGTGGCCTGATCTGTGAGGAGAGCCAGCAGCCCACAGTATTCCTAGTGTGAAACTCCGAAGGTCACCTCTCCTGCTCTCTCTACTTGGGGGTGACCTCCACCTCAAGCAGTATAGAAACGAGAGACCATTGCTTGATACTGGCAGTTGAGAGAGCTCCCCACAAAGAGAAGATTTTTATACTCAAATCTATAATTTAATTCAAGAGAATGCTTTTATTTCCGTTCAAACATATTTTGTACATATGTGATATAAATTAATGTGTTTAAATTGTGGAAAAATAAGAAGTGTGGCAGTTTTGCATGTAATTGGTTATGCCTTCATTGGACTTTTATAGACATTTTTTTATTTGCATGGGGGATAAAAAACCACTGTAAATTTTATGTCACCAGACAAAGGATAACCCTTGTGTGAAAGGAAGGGACTGTCAATAATTGACAGATCCAATGCAGAACTGTTATACTAGGGCTGGGCCTCAGACCTTCAGCCTCACGCAGGAAAGGCACAGCATTCCGAGGACTTTAAAGGGAACGAGCAAAGGACCCCCCGCTCTGCCTGCCACGACTACCTGTTGCTTCCCTTGCGTGCAGTCTCATCAGATGTTGCCGAGTCCCAGCCATATTGTTTATGCATACTGCATGGGTATTACCAAGAAAATCTTCCAGGTGTGACGTGACATGCTACCCGACCTCGTGTGTGCTGTCTCATGTACCTCTGGCATCAGGGATCTTGTGCCTCAAAAAATGTTCCCAAGGTTGTGTCTATACACTGGATGTTTGTTTTAATTTCATAGTGAACAAAATTATTCCCAGTTCTGAAGAGCCAAAAAAAGTATCTTCTTTAAGAAAAAAAAATTTTTTTAAGAATAAACTTATGGAAAACCCAGTAGTACTGATACAGATGAATTATACTATTAGATAAGAATTAAATGTTCTATTTTTATGAAGATAGATGCTTAGTAGATTTAAAAAAAAAAACCCTTCAGGCTTAATTCTCAATTTCACTTCCACAATTTCACTTTGGAAAGGAACTCTTTCCATGTCAGCCCGTCATTCAGACTTTTTTTTTTCATTCAAGAACTCCAGTGTTACTAAAATTTTCTTACTAAAAATATAATTTAATAGAATTTCTTTTTTTTCCCCTTTCCATTTCTGTGGTGCTAAGGATTGATCCTAGGGCGTGTAGAATTATCTTAAAATCAGTTATTTGAACACACAGATATAATGACACTCTGATACAGGTCTCACTGCCTAATGCCAGGTATATTTATCTTAAAATTGGATGAGGTTTCCGTGGCAAAGAAATAAAGTTGAGCAGTATTATTTTCTCTTGGAAATTATCAAATACCTTATACTTCTATATCTTATCTTACAGACTTTCACAAATTTAAAACAAAGTATTACATGTCTACGAAGTGAGTCTTCACCAACAGTAAAGAGTGACAGAATTCTGTATGTGAGACAGTACAATTTACCTCAGGGTGTAAGTGTACTGTTCAGTTGTCATTTTCTGTGGCCGTTTTGGTCACTCCAATGGCCATGAAGCAAATCACAAGAGTGATTACAAATTTTAAACCTTGAGGAGATGGATAGCTTCTCTGCTGTGACACCAAACAACTTTTCCATGTTTATTCCTTAGAAATAGTTCCAAAATATTTCTTTCAATTTTGTGCTGCTCAAAATAGTATAAGATCAGACCTGCTGAAAATTGAGATATTTGTACTTTATCTTTTCATTTTCTGTCTCTCACAGCTAATGGTGGGTTTCAACTTGATGGAATGATGGCAAAATGGAATGTGACCATTTTCTGACCACTCACAGATGGGAGGGTACAGGGCCGTGAGGAGCCCGGTGGTGATCCTAACGGGTTGGTGGTTGGGGAAATCAATGCTGTTTTAGTCTTCTTTGGGAAACTGTTTCCTTATTATAATATGGGGCTGTCCACATTGGGGTAGCTTTTCATACTGATAGACATTTCAGTTTCAGAATTCACGACTACAGGTATCTGCCTTATTTTCTTAATCAAGTCTTGCAGTGATATTGTTTTAGGAATTGGATGTAAATGTTTCTGCATTGTTTCAGTGTTGAATATGGCATGTTACCCTGTGAAATCCATCTCACCATTTTGTTTTTTGTTTTGATTTTAAAGTTTTTGGCTATGAACAGTGACCTTTGTATGTTTTCATGAGTGACAGTTTTGCCCACTTGCCTTGATCCTATGACAATAAATCTCTTCCTTACATCTTAACAGAAGCGCTGCAAAGCAGGCAGTCAGATTTACAGTAAAATGTATTAGGAGGATTTGCTAAAGAATGCATAGTCTGCTGGTTCTTTGTCAGCAGTGATGCCTGCAGTGTCTGTTCAGAAGTGCTATTTCTTTTCTAAGCAAGTTGAAACCTATTTGAAATTATGAAGGCAACTTCTGATTGGCCATCTTTGGTTTTTCTTAATCTCAAAGCCAGGAAACCTGTGTGGATAGAAAGATGTTAGGAGTGATGTACTGAGAAAATTATATAGTGCCTCTGGACTAGAGAAGTCACGATTGATAGGTTCATTTGTCAAAAGAAACATTATACCTAATTCATAGTGAAGATACCATTTAATTCTTTGCCAAAACAAGGGTTTTAATGAGGTGGCTTTTTTATTGTTTAATTTTCTGGTTTGGGCTTATTGGGTAAAGGTACCAGCCACCAATCCTAACAACCTAATTTTGATCCCCACCCATCCACATGCTAGAAGGAGAGAACTGACTCCTGAAAATTTCTTCTGACCTTCACATACACACACACACACACACACACACACACACACACACACACACACACACATACACACACATGTAAACTTATGTGCTTGTACACACACACACACACACAAATACATAAAAAGGTAATTAAATTAAAAAGGTAAATTTCTGTTTGAGTTTTATGAAAATGCATTCACTAAGAAAATCTTATTTACAATGTTTAAATACAAAATTATGTATTAAAAATTTATACTCATTTCCCAGGCAAGATAATTGATATCGATCCATTTTAAAACAAAATAAGAACTTAGCCAGTCCAGTCGTCTTTTGGAGACTCCCTGACTATGAAGGCAGAATTTCATGTCCTTATGTTAGCCTTTGCTCTTCCCTGTTTCTTTATGTGCTTTTCAGGTAAATAGCACTCCAGATTTCTTGCCTTGGGTTTGCAGGTATGCCAATTGGGAACCAAAATGGTCATGGTATTGTTTTTCAGAAAGAGGAAGTGTACTTAAGATTATTTTATTTATTATATATGAAAGGCTTCTACACAAGTGCATTGAAATATATGCTAGTGATTTCTTGTAATCTGTTTGCTTTTTGTTTTGTTGTTTTTGCTTCTCATGGAAATGTTTGTACTTTTTTTATCATTGTCTTTTATGAAATATAATGTTCTAAAGACTTTGTGTGATGGTGTAATTATTTTTCCTTGGAACTTTGGGGGATTATCTGGGGTTGTTCCCCTCTAAATTTCAGGTGAATTATTGATTTCTTGGTTGATGTTACAGTTACACAATAAAAATACAAAGAGCATAGCTTAAATACAGTTAGATATCATAGCTTTCACCTGAAAAACCCCAATTATCACTTAAATATTCACCAATACGTTTATTAAGCTATGACATCAAGAATTATTTAATCCAGGACTGAGATGAATTAGGATAACGAGTTTGCCATGCCTGGCCTCCGATATCCTTGTAGTATATTTGATAGTCTTGAAATATATTGCTAATCTAATCTTCACAGTTCAATTTGTGCTTAGGAGGAGCTTGAGGGGGTAGTAGACATTTTAACCCCAAGGAGTAAACTGATGGAGTGGGAAGCCCTGAAGAAAGCATGGTATCAGACACTCCCATTTGCTTCTTGCCTTTCGGGGGTACTATGAAGGAACCCAGGGTCCCGGGCATGCTCGGCAAGTGTTTGTAACTAACTGAGCCATCCCCCAGCCCTCACTTGTAACTTTGGTAAACACTGGTTCTTTTTGATGGGGTGTCTTCTCCCTAGCATTTCTGTAAGAGCAGCTCTTTACCACTCATATTCTATTCCCTTTGTAAACATGCTTTAGAAGGTGTATCACTTTTTTGTTGCTGTGATAGAAACACCATGAACAAGGAAACTTATAAAAGGAAGAATTTATTTAGCTTATGGTTCCAAAGGAGCAAGAGTCCATCATGGCAGGGAGGCATGGTAGCTAAGTTCTCACATTTTCAAGCAGGCACATTTTCAAGCAGAGTGCAATTGGAGATCCAGCAATCTAAGCCCGCAGTGACATGCTTCCTCCAGCATGGCCACACTTTCTAAGACCTCCCAAAACAACACCACCAACTGGGGACAAAATGCTCAAATACTTGATGCCTATGGGGGACATTCTCATTCACACCATCACAGGAAGGTAATTGAAATAATTGTTCTGCAGTGGACCTTAACAGTTGGTGGTAAACTCTCAAGAGGGCTCTATGGAAGGTGGGGTTATAATGTTAATCAAAGACTCATCAGACTATCACACTAAGGGTTTGAATTTGGGGATCCTCTGTCATTGTCCATGAAACAGCAAGATTTTTAAAAAATCTTTATGTGTATGAGCATATCGCCTGCATGTGTGTAAGTGCACCTGTGTCATGCAATACCAGCAGAGGTCAGAAGAGGGTGTTGGGTCCTGTTGCACTACATTTTCCCCTCGCCCTTCTTGAGAGAACCCCACCCCTGCCCTTTGAGGCCCCAGGGCTAACAAACCGACAGAATACCTTTTATTTGGGTTTTAGTATGGTTTATGTGATGTTCAGGAAAGGGTGACTCACAAAGCATAAACTCCCACAGTCCATCTTCTACATTTCCACTGAACTTTGAGATCCTCGCATGCCCTGCATGAAGTTTGCCAGCTGTCCCTGCACCATCTCGCTGCCCCTTGAGGGCCGTGAGGGTTCACGGGGTTCTTGCAAGGTCCACAGTGCCCCTTGGGGTCCATGGCCCCACCAGGTCCTTGGCAGGCTGGCTTGCCCACTCACCTTGTGTTTGCTGCTCCCAAAATGGCACCAACTCCTCCTTTTTCCCAGTGTGCTCTGCCTTTTCGGTGTCTCTACCCCTCCCCCCCGCTTTTTCCCCAGGAGGAAGAATTTACCCAACAGATCCCCTGGAACTGGAGTTAGAGATGGTTGTTAGCCACCATGTGGAGGCTGATAATCAAACCTGGGTCCTCTGCAAGAGCAACCAGTGCTCTTAACTGCTGAGCCATCTCTCCAGCCCTGAAACAGTAAATTTTATAAGCTGAATTTGGTTATATCTCAGTCAAAGACAATGGTAACCATGGAAATGATTAGATACACTAACCTTCTAGAACACTTTATTTATTTATTTATTCTTTTTAAAATATAAACACAAAAAGAAATTGAAACAGTAATACAAAACTCACTAAAAAAAGCCCAGGACCAGATGGATTTACAGAAGAATTCTATCAGACATTTAAACAAGGTCTACATCCAATACTACTTAATTTATTCAAAAAGATAGAAATGGAGGGAGAACTTCCAAATTCCTTCTATGAAGCCAGCATCACTCCAATACCAAAGCCAGGTAAAGATACAACCAAAAAAGAAAACTATAGACCCAGATCCTTAATGAACATAGATGCAAAAATTCTCAACAAGATACTTGCAAACCACATACAGACACACATCAAAAAGATCATCCACCAAGATCAAGTTGGTTT